ACATTAAAGATATTTTAACACATGAAACAGCTAATAAAACAACTATTTCCTTCTAAGGTTAAACTTATGGTTTAGTTAACCAAGTTTTACACCTGGGTTACACCCTCCCCTCCTTACATAACATGAGTCCCTTCATGTTCTTCTTTCAAGGAATAATTACTTTCAAAGGTTTCAACCATAGCTTTGTTAAAGCCTTCCACTATGGTTTGGACAAAAGAGATGAAGGGATTCCCAAGTTAAGGGTATGTGAACTTCCCTGGTGCTTTTCTGACACATTCAGATCTCTGTGGAGGTTCAACTGTTTCCTCCCCGTTGCTATTTTTTGTTTCAACAGCAGGGTTTGTACCACTATTGGTGGCTGGTTGAAGGGCATCTCTTTGGGATTCACTTTGAGAGACAGGTGGGCTGGCTATGGGAATACATTCCTTGGTTCTTTCAGTTTCTTCACTGAATAGAGTTCCTCCGCTCGTCTCCATTTGCTTTGTTAGTTCTCCTGTCTCTGTTTCAGCTTCAGTTTCAATGTTTTTTTTTCCATTTCATTAACATCATTTTCTTTCTCCATGTCATTTTCAGATTCATGAACAAAAGGTAAGTTTCCTTCTGTTTCCAGCTCAACAGATCCTCTTTCCACAGGTTCTCCTTCCCTAGGTTCTTTTTCCACAGGATCTTTTTCCACAGATTCCAGTTGGGAAGGTGTGTCAATTCCAGTAGGTATGTCAATTCCAGTAGTTGTGTCAATTCCATTGAGTGTGTAAATTTCAAAAGATGTCTTCTTCTGTGACTCGGATATGTTTGAGGCTCCAGAAGGTCGTCTCAGTAATTTTAACTGAATGAAAACATTGCTCATCTTCCTCCTCATCCTCGGATGATGAAGGCAGTTCACTGACTTGATTTGATGTTTGCCTTGTTCTAGGCCTACGAGTTGATTTTGGCTGAACTATTTCCTCTTCTGGTTCGGAGAGAAACCCACATGGCAATAGAAGGTCACGATGTAATGTACGTAAGGGACCATCTTGGCCTTCAGGGCACACTGTATAAACAGGTAGGTCTCCAGCCCTCTTCTGCACTACATAAACTGTCGGTTCCCATCGATCAGCTAATTTGTGCTTGTTGCGAAGGCGAAGATTTCGCACCAGGACTCTTTCTCCTGTTTCAAGTGTGGCCTCTCTCACTCTGGCATCAAATCTTTTCTTGTTTTTGTCAGCTACTCTCTTTGAGTTTTCCATAGCAAGCTGATCCTTGAAGCTTTCCTTCAAGTGACTCTTTAGACTTTTCACATATTGCGAATGTGAAGTAGACGAACTGTCTTTAACTGGTAACCCAAACGCGATGTCAATGGGCAACGTGGGCTGGCGTCCGAACATGAGTTCGTAGGGTGAAAACCCTGTGACATCGTTCTTCGTACAATCGTACGCATGCGTAAGGGGTTTTACATGTTCACGCCACCATGTCTTCTCCTTAACCTGCAGAGTTCCCAGCATGCTTAGCAATGTACGAATAAAGCGTTCTACTGGGTTCCCCCTAGGATGATATGGACTTGTTCTTACTTTACGGATGCCGGCTAAAGCACAGAGCTCTTTAATGATCTGCGACTCAAAATCACGTCCCTGGTCGCTGTGGAGGCGTTCTGGGAACCCATAATGGCTGAGGAACTGCTCCCACAAACATTTGGCGACTGTGCTGGCTTCCTGATCCTTTGCTGGTATAGCAACAGCATATTTCGTAAAGTGATCCGTTATAACTAGGAAGTCTTTGGTGTTATGACTATCTGGTTCTAATGACAAAACGTCCATACAAACCAGTTCCAAAGGCCTGCTGGTTTGGATATTGACAAGGGGTGCAGCCTTTTCTGGCTGACTTTTTCTCATTACACATCTCTCACACTGTTTGATTTTTGTCTCAATATCAAATGCCATCCTTGGCCAATAGAACCTGGATCTGGCCAGCTCAAGTGTGCATTCAACTCCCATGTGCCCCATTTCGTCGTGAAGACTGGTGAGCACGGATGGCTTTAGTACATTCGGTAGGACGAGCTGACAGACTGGTTTACTGTTGCACTGCCTTCTCCTGTATAATAGGCCATTCTTCAGTTCAAGACGGCTCATCTCTCTGAAAATCAGCCGACTTTCAGGGGATTCAGACTTTAGGCTGGCAAGTGCAAGTTCTCCTGACTCAATCAGCTCAATGACTTGGCTGATGACAGGGTCTGTTCTTTGCAGTTTGGCTAGTTCATCTTTACTGTACCTGGGAACTGTGAGCAGACCGTCTTGGACTCCCTCCTCCTCAAACTCGGCAGGAATGGCCTCCGGGTGGATAGCAAGGGACTCTACGAGGCAAGGAGAGGGTAAGTCTTCCTCCACATGTATAATAGTGTGACTCTGACAGGCTGCTTTAACAGCTTCTGTGGAACAGAAGTTATTGCTCTCTGAGCGGAGATGGTGAGAAGTGAAGGTATGAATCCTATGGCTTTCCTCTTTAGACTGACCGTCGTTGACCAACTCACCGTGAGGCCTCCTGGACAAAGCGTCGGCATCTTGATTCTGCTTTCCGGCTCGGTATGTGATGTCAAACGTAAAGGTGGATAATTCAGTTAACCAGCGGTAGCTGGCAGCATCCAGCTTGGCAGTAGTGAGTATATACCTCAACGTGTTGTCATCTGTGACTACTGTAAAGGCGTTGCCATAGAGGTAGTCGTCGAATTTGTCAGTGATAGCCCACTTGAGGACTAAAAATTCCAACTTGTGTGCCGGGTATTTAGCCTCACAGCACGATAAGCCTCTACTTGCGTAGGCGATAACACAAGTTTGTCCATCCTGAACTTGATATAATGCAGCGCCAAGCCCAGTCGTGCTGGCATCTGCATGGAGGACGTATGGCAGCTTGGTGTTGGCGTCCATCTCTCAGCAAATGGCTCCTTGGGGTGGAAATATTTGCTGTCGATTTTGGTCTGCTTGCGCCCTTTTTGAATTGTCGGGTAACCAGCAGTTAAACTGTTTAAGGGCTTCACGATCCTGGCGTAATCTTGCACAAATCTCCAGTAATACCCGGAGAACCCAAGAAAAGACTTGAGCTCCTTCAGGGTTCTAGGCGTCGGCCAGGTCTTAAGGGCCTTGACTTTCTCCGGATCGGTTTCAATGCCGTCTCTAGACACAATGTGCCCCAAATAGCGCACTGACGTTTGAAAAACCGGCACTTTTCTGGTGACAATTTGAGGCCATGTTCTCTCAGTCGGTTTAAAACTTTTAGCAAGTGAGCTTCATGCTCCTCCAAGGAGTCGGAAAAGACAATTATGTCATCAAGGAAAACTAGCGCTTCGCGAAGATGGATGTCGCCCATACACTTCTCCAAGCGCTGAAAAGTGGATGGTGCGTTAGTTATTCCTTGTGGCATCCGGTTCCATTCATAAAGCCCCAAAGGACAGACGAAAGCAGTTTTTTGCTTGTCGTTCTCTATCTCGATTTGGTAGTAGCCGGATTTCAAATCCATCACTGTAAACCACTGAGCCCCAGCGAGCGCAGAAAATGATTCCTCCAGGTTAGGTAACGTGTATGCATCCCTGATGGTCTGGAGGTTCAATTTTCTGTAATCCACGCACAATCTGATGTCACCATTCTTCTTTCTGACAACGACAATGGGTGACGAAAAAGGGGACTCAGATTCTCAAATGACTCCAGCTTTAAGGAGGGTTTGGAGATGGCGACGCACTGCTTCGTAGTCTTGTGGGTGTATAGGGCGTGATCTCTGCTTGAAAGGTGTTTCATCCTTCATTTTGATATGATGCTTTACCTTTGTTGCATGCCCGAAATCAAACTCATGTTGAGCAAAAACATCAGCGTAGTTACTTAACTCCTGTGTTACCTTTACTTTCCAATCCTCAGGAACTGGAGAGTTGCAGAAGTTAAACTTCAGCTTTGGACTTGTATTTAGTTCTTGCTGAGTAGAGATGCAGGCTGCATACTGTGGTTTGTCAGGCTGAGGGGATTCTTCGTTCAGGTAAGTCAGTTCTTTGTTCAGGATCTTGCATCATGCACAATCTCATGAGCGACTGTTTAGTTCAGCAATGACAACAGTTAGTGTCGGCAGTATTATGTCATCGGGGTCTGATTCGTTTCTCAATATTAAAGCGTTACTTTAAGGAGCCTGCGTTGGTATCGTGATGAGACAACGATCTATGAAGATTCCACCAGGTAGGTTTGAGGTAGATGGTTCTTCGAGCAATGCCCATTCTTCACTGCATACCGCTCTGGCACCTACAAAGCCTTGTATAAGAACCTTTTGGCCGGCTGGAATGACTTCAGGTGTACTGCCTCAACAAGGCCAAATGTGCCGCTGGAGTATTGCTGGTGTCGATATTGCAGAGCTTTTAGTACCTGGGCATAACCACAGAGTGTAGCGGTTTTTAAAGTTTCATCATCACAGTACTCCTCATAGAGAGGGTCAAGGGTGTTTGTGCCAATGAGTACTTGTATACTGCTATTTGAGCGATTATCTGGCACTACCAAGGCTAAGGTTTGCACCTCAGGTTCTGAGGCTATGAACTCTTTAGGGAACTTCATGCTTATCTCTACATAGCCATTATAAGGCACAGGCTGGCCATTTGCTCCATCCACCTCGAGTATATTGTTCACAGGCTCAATTGTGCATCCTGACAGGTATTTATCATAGAATGATTGAGATACGGTCGTAACTTGAGAATCTGTATCAATCAAACAATTACTCTCCACTCCACTAACTGCTACATTGGCAGTGCATTTACATCCAACAAGTCTTTTAAGGATCTTTTTAGGTCCAACTAGCTGCCCTTTTAGCGTTGCTCTGAGTTTGGAGTCTTGCTTTGGGTTGGGACTTTCCTCTTCATCAGTTGTGTCTTGCTTTTGTGTGGGACTTTTCTCTTTGTCGGTTCCTATCAGTCCCTCCATAGGAGCCGTTACAAGTTTAAAGTGCCATTAGAGGTGTTTTCCTTATCCCAAGCCTTTTCTTTTAGTTCTTCCCTTTTAGCTTCGACCAGTGTTGGGTTTGGGGGGTTGAGTTATCTGTTTCTGTATCTGCTCTATGAGTGAGGGCATTCTGTTATCTTGGATTTGCATATCAAAATCATTCATCTCACTTGTACACACAGCTTGTATGCTAGCTTGAGCTTTAGCCTTAGGAAATCCTAAGTGGTGCTTCATTCGACTAACCTTAGCTGCTTGCTTGTCCTCCTCTGTGCGTAACATCATGGTGGAATACTCTGCCTCTGCTTGAGCTGGAGTGTTGCAATGAGTGTGTTGTTCCAACACCCTCTACAGAATTGTTTGAGTAGTTGTTTGTCTGCGTCACGGGTGCTTACTGCTTTCTTTTTCACAACCTCATTCAGACATGACTGCAGCCTGTGCAGATAGCCGGATGGCTTTTCCCCTGAGTTTTGGTGAGTATTGAGAAATTTAGCAAACAATTCATCACCATCCTCTACCGTTGCATATGCTGAGTCAAGCAAGTCTAGGTAAGCACGAGGAGAGGCTCTGGGACCTAAAGACTTCACTACATGAGCAGCGGGGGGTAAAAGGCTGTCAACCATTTTTCTCAGTAACTGTGGCTGAGAGACAGTGGAATCAGTCAAGTAGAATTCAACACTAGATCGCCAGGTGTCATAGTCGACCTCATGGTTGGGAAAAGGGACCTGTCCTCAGAAGGTCCTCAATTTAACATGCGAGTGAAGCTGAGCTGCAATCTCTGTGCTCTTCACAACATGTTCCACTATTACTCGCTGTACTCCGGGTGTGCTGAGATGATCGGGAGGCAAGCTGAAACTGCGTATGGTTTCTGCTACACCAGGTGAAGCAAGTGGAGCTGTGGTACCAGGGAACTCTTCAGTTTGAGTCTGTGTAAGGTGGGATTCAGCTCTGGCAGTCTGAGAGGGAGTCAGTGCATTTTCAGTGGGTGGTTGGATAGTAGGCTCCTGAACTGCCTCAAACTCTGCCACTGGGGCCTCTTCTGCAAGAGATTTAGTTATTCTAGTCAGCTCCTCTTGCAAAATATCCTCAAACGGCTTCCCGCTCATTTTGGCTATGCTCTTAAGCTCAGACAGAAAAGTATGAGTGGTTTCAGTTCCTGCCTTACTGCTGTAAACACTGGCTAGTGTTTTTACATGGTGAGTGATTGAAGGATTTGCAGAACTGGTCCTATGCAATGGTAAGATGGGCTCAAGTGCTTGTACTGCTACACCTGATTTGAACTCAACAATGGCCTGACCGTTAAATTCTGACAATACATCGTCAATATTTATTGTGCGACTTATTTTTCCATACTGTTTGAGATAGTTGCCGATTTCATCATCTGTAGGAGTACCAGACAACCCACTGACTATAAGGGAGTTGGGAACTTTAATACTCTCCCTCTCAACAATCTCCATTTCAAAAGATCTACCAAGAATCAGGATTAAGGGCTATATAGTTCAAAGTATATTCTGGTTTTTGCAATCAATTGTGATGTTCATGTATGGCTATAGTGGTCCACTCACAGAGCTCCTGGCTGGCTCGCCAAGTTTTTGTCCCTTGTAATCCACTTATAGTAGATACACTGAATGGCTAGGTTCGGAAAGAGCTCATGTACCATAGACCTGAACAGCCGAACAATGAACAACACCAACCACGAAGTAAATTGCAAAAGTAAACTCTTTTAGTGAGTATTGTATAACAAAACTTTACAACATTTATATAAACAATGGTATGAAAAATAACAAAGAAAATAAAATGGCGCCTTTAAAATAAGGAGTCTTGTTTATCTTAGTACCGGTACTATTTTGTTTGTGTTCCTTCCAAATGTTCCTCTAATAGGGTGATTAGAGTCACGCGCTAACTCTTTTGGGTGTGTAGCAATCCTGCCAACCAGGTTGGCCCTACCACCAATTGTAGTTAGTGACGAAGAGTCAATCCAGCTTCCTTAGGATCTTTGGGAGGCTCGCCATCTATGGATCACAGAATGATTCCGAATCACTCCATCCAGGGCTCTGGATCCTCTCCAACAGACTGGATGTTCCTATGGAGATTAGGGGTCTCCAAAAGACCTGACCTGTTTAATTTGACAGGACCCTTAAGTAAACAATCTAATTATTGTACAACAATAACACAGTATAATGACAATGTCACCTTTAACATTCTGGCCTTTCATT